AGATAGATAGATAGATAGATAGATAGATAGATAGATAGATAGATAGAATATGATCAAAATCTTTTATCATTTTTTAACTTATAGAGCTTAATTTTGCAGCCAGTATCAAGAATAAACTGTGGTTTTAAGTTACTTTGAACCATGTATCAACAAAACAAGATTATCCTTAAGCTTTGTAATCATTCAACAATCAGGACACTGTTCTAGTGTCTTATGTAACAGAGAAGGGACACTGGAATACTGAGGTTTTGGCTGCATGTGGATCTTCCTTTTACACCTCTGAGCTGGATCCAATTCACTGCTACAGCCAGCCCCGGTGCAATTAACACCAGTTAACAAAAGAGGGTTAAGGTGATTGTTTTGTGTTTGACAATTGTCCAACAAGACTATTTTAATAGCTTTGAAATTATTTGTACTATCACAGAGAGGAGAGCATCTGCTGAATAGGCTGTCTAATCCAGTTTCTAAAATGTTGAAGCCTGCAGAGGCTCAAATCAGACTCAATGGTTTTGCATGCTTCTAATGCTATTTATCAGTCAGAGGGGATCAATCACATAAATCCTAATGAATTATTATCGAATTATAGCAATTTTAAATTCAAATAGTACAGCTTAAACTATTTAAACTATTGGCATTGATAGCATTTTAAATGAAAATTTGATTATAGTAAAGGTTAAGGTCTTGATGGATATACGGACAAACGATTTTCTTACATTTGATCATTTATTTTGTTTGTTTCGTTCAAACCTGCATGTTGATATGCATAAAGGCATATAGTTTATTTAAGGAGAGTGAAAAATAATTATAAGATAAGATCAAATGCCTTGTAAATTCATTTACACGCGATAATTATTCGACGCGTGACAAACAATGCAAACCTGCCCCACGATTCAACAAACGTGTCCTTCTGCCACAATGGGAAACGATTATCAATAGCAGATGATGCGCTTTAAAATGCACCAGCTTACTTGACCTTATTGCTTGAGAGTTACTATCTGTAGGGCTTAGTTTGGTCAAACCGACTCGCAGTAGATCAAAACCAGCAGATCCGTGATCATATCGCTGTATGAACCGCGGGCAGCCCTATACGTCCAAATGCTGGCTAAGGACTTTCATATTTCATTTCCTTTCCTTTTATTTCGGGGCTTGTCTGTGTTCCTGCAGAGGGACTCACCGGTGCAGGACCGCGTCTTGCCTTTGTTCTTGGAGGAGAAGGACAGCCCCAGCAGGCTGCCCGGCTGGAAGGGACTGCCGCCGTAGTCGTGCGTCACCGGGAGGGAGTAGGGCGCGTAGGTCGGGATGGGGTGGTGGGCCGACGGGGTCTGCGCGCCCATCGAGGCCAGGCTGCTCCTCAGGGGACTGGACCCCTCCATCTTCATCCCTTCCGATAGCGACACTTGGTATTTGATAGATTCCTTGTCGTCCATTCTGGTGGCGGAGGAGGACGGGGACGCCGCGCCCGGGTCCGGGGACGCGTCTTTGGGCGGCGTGGGGGGGAAGGTGTACAGGTGGGAGCCGGAGTGGGAAGGCGGCGTCAGGGACGCGGAGACCGGGTTGGAGCTGTTGCTGCCGCCGCACTGGTAGACGCCGGAGAGAGCCCCGGGGGAGGCCGAGCCCGGGTGGTGCAGGCTGGGCTTGCTGAAGGGGCTGACGGCCCAGGGGTTGTGGTGGTGAGCGGACAGGGCTGCCTTCCCACCGTCCAGCCACGGGATCCCCGGACTGTGCAGGAGATGAGGCCGGCAGACCTGACTCCCCGTCAGACGCGCTGGGAAATAACAGCAGACATTTTATTATGGGGAACAGGACACCAGCGAGGAGGTTATTCTGACAGGGTGCACAAATAAATAAGACTTGTTGATTCACTACTGGCCTGTAGGTTCACTGTAAACAAAGTAAGGCTCTCTCTCAATATAAACCTTTATTTGTTCCTCTTACTATATGTTCTAAATGTAAGGGTCACTTGGTATTAAAACTCTTAAAACTTTTAGATAATAATTAAACTATTTAAAACGACTGATTGCTTAACATTAACTAACTGAATAAACACGAGAAAATTAGGTATTAAGAAACTGGATGAGTTCAGTTTCTTGTCACACAAAAACAGAATTAAATTAAAAACATGCTTCAAGGAAATGTGGAATAAAAAGTAGAATAATCTCAAATTTACAATTGCAGCTGCCACAATCATCAGAAGTTCTGGTGGGCTTTTTTTTTCTGTTCTCGGCTGATGTTTGTGTGCTGTCTGAAGGCCTGCCTCGTCTTACCGTGCGCTTGGCTGTAGGACACTCTGGCCCGGGCAGGGTTGTGGTAGTACGGGTTCCCCTGCGAGTCCAGGTGATTGAAGAAGACGTCCACCTCGTCGGGAGGCAGGAGCTGCGCCGTGGGCTCCATGTAGTTGTGCCCCAGGCCGGGATGGTGCGAGTCTGGGTGCTGGCCGTTGAGCACGGCGTGGTGATGCATCCAGCGGGGCTGGTCCGCCGCCACGTCCATCTGCGCGGCTTTTATCCGCTCAGTCAGTGAAAATCCAGAGGGATGACACGGATCTCTGAAAAACGAACAGTCCCCGAGAGGATCTTCACTGTGTCCGGTGTCACGTTTGTTTGTTTTTGTTTTTTTTTCTTCTGAGGTTTTATTCTTCCACTATCCTCACCATGGAGTGGAGCTTGCGGCGCAGGGAGCCTGGAACGAGTAAAAACAGCACATGTTAACAGGTCGAGGAAGCTGTCAGCAAACACAGGGCGCGTGTGCACGCTTGTATCGTCAGGTATGATGCAGATTGGGAATCCTTTTTTAAAAACCAACCCAGAAAATATCTACACTCACGAATCTCAACGCATGTTATCACTGGCTTTAAACACTTTGAGGTGAGACGAAAATGCCGTATTTACCTGTGTTTTATCCTCAGACTTCTTTCAAAAATAAAAAGATGCTCCCTGTCTCCGTTTGCTGGCGCAGGTCGTCTGCAGTTGTCAGTGGTCAGAGAGAGCTGCGTCCACTGGGACATGGGGCAGTGCGTATCACTGGGGCTGACAGCGCGGGGCCAGGCTTGTTAAGCAGCCGTGGGCGGAGTTTCAAACCAAGCTTTGACTCAGCCAATTACATTCCACATTTGCAAAGCCCCGAGTAGAAAAATCAAAGATTTCTAGATTTTTTTTGGTTAATAACATCGTTTTCTGCCAGAGCGTTATGAAGGGCGTGTCCTGGATTGTGTTATCTGTTTGGTAGCACAACTCGTAATCATGATGTTATCATTTGAAAATGTTCAAATGACCAGTTTGGTATGAAATTAAGTCAACACTGTCCCCAGTCTGTCCCAAAATTGAACGTTCTCATGACTGGTTTGTGGAATATTTCTTCCCAGAAAATATGAAAATAAGACAAACTGCGTAAAAACGCTTTTGGTGTCAATGGCAGAAATTGATCTATAATAATAATGTCCTAAAGTAATTCTGCTGTGAACTATTCGTTGTTTCACGGCGCAGAGGAGACATTGGTTCCATAACTCTGCTCAATTCATGCTGCCAACAGACTTTGCCACATAGTCTGCGATCAATCGAATAAATCGGAAATAATGGGCCTATTTGAGGGAGACCACGAGAGTTGCGTACTCCCATCAATGAGACCAAATCCTTAGCAGAATTCTACTGAAGACAGATTCATAATCATGTTCCAGGTTTTGAACGTGTGGTGCTGCTTCTGAATATTTTCCTCTATGTCTTTTTAACTTATTGGCCCAAAGTTCACTGTAACCCCTCACCCTCATCTCTTTCCGTGTCTGTGTCCTCCTCGCGCATGAGTGACAGACAATAATTGGAGAGGGAGCGCGTGCAGCCCCGACCGGTCGACGCTGCCGCCTGCTTGACGCCGTCCCCTGACGTCATTGTATCTGAGAGGAGGAAAAAAAGAGCCAGATTTAGCAGGACATGAACTTTTTCTAGCAACCGAGTGACTGGGAGAAAGGGAAAGACAGAGCAGGGGGTTGCCCGGGGTCTGCTGGTCCCAGCGGATGAACTTGAGGAAGAACAATGACGTGTACACTGTAGATGCTTTAATAATACATAAATCCCTAAAGATTAGATTAGATTTATGTTATATTCTATCTATCTATCTATCTATCTATCTATCTATCTATCTATCTATCT